CAGCAGGAGTCGCTTTGCGGTCTCTAGGCCGCTTTGATCAGCTGGGGAAGAGTAACGCTTCCTGGTGCATCCACCTTAACAACTGGCTTCAGCAGAGCCTCACAGCCAAGCACAATAATAAAGCCAGAACACTGGACTGCCCCTTTCCCGACCGCATCGGCATTTACTGCAACTACGAAGAAGGTGAGTTAAGCTATAAATATGACAAAATGAGTAAAATAGTGCCACAGTTAATGCTGAAGCTAACTTGTTAGCTATGGTAAAAGCAAATGGATGATGTTGCCTGTGTGAGAACCGGCTGTTTGCAGCAGTCACAGATTGTATATTTAATATAGTGGTTGACAGATATATTGCTAAGTGCAGTATTTGGCTTTTTTTATTTTTGGCATTGGCTGAGTTGTTTTTCTGTTTGTGTCAGACGTTGGACTTTTATTTTGACAATGTCAGGACTTTTGTGCGAACAAATAGTCACTATTTTTCTTTATTTGTAAAAAAAGATTTAAATCTGATTATAGAATCAATTAGTTGCTCTATAGAGTATAAATGTGTTTATTTTACAATTTTTTATTCTCACTTTTTTTTTTAATTTAGTGAATGATATGTAAAATAAGCATAAATTTAATTGCAGCATGTGCCATTTGTATCTTTAAATTAAATTAAGTAGAATGATATTTTATATCTTTACATACAATATGTAACACTTGTTTTTCCTCTCCCTTTTCAGGCACATTGTCTTTTTACAACTCCAGAACCAAAACTCTCCTTCATACATTCAGAACCAAGTTCCAGCAGCCTGTTATACCAGCCTTTATGGTAAGATATAATACAGCTCACTTTATATTTAACAATTAAATCACACATAAATTAGGGATATTTTGAACATGCTAGATGGCTATAATTTTCTACAGAGACATCTTACGAGTCCTTTGCGTAAGATGCATTCTTTCATTCAAAAGCATCTAGATGATAGCACAATTGAATAGAACAGAATGCAGGTCTATTTTTAACTCGAGTTGACACCATCATAAAAATGCACGGTCATGGAACAAGATGCTGCCAAAAAAAAAAAACGCAAGTCACAACATGTTTGTCTGGATATGTGTAAGTACAATATGTGTGTAAGAGCGGTGCTTCAAATGCAGCACAACTTCTAACTTATTAAAAAAAAAAAAAAAAATGTACAAGAAAAGTCTACATTTATTCATTTACTTACACAGTACAAAGTTTCAAGCATAAACTAGACTAACATTTTATTATTTATTATTTATTTATTATATATAGTTATTTTTTTGCAACCATAAAATAACGTTCCCAGAACGTTGCAGGGTGGTTATTTTTAAATAACCTAAAAATAACTATACAGAACGTTCCCTTATGGTTATTCTCGGGTTATTTTTTATAACCCTGTAAAACTATCTTTCCAATGAAAATGTCGCAGATGTTAATGTGTAATACAGAGCCCTGAAATTCGTTTAATGCAGCATTTATTACAATATTAAAATACAGAATTAGATCAATCAAAACGCGATTTAAATTATAATATTAAGCCAGGGTTAAGCTATAAGAAATCATAAATTCGTGGGTTTGTTTTATCACTTATCGCTTTCACAGAGAGCCGCACGCTCGCAGAATTTAAAAATTAACGGTCATTTTTCGTTTTACTGGCTGATTGCCTCGCTCGTTTATCGATCTCTTTATTGAATGATTACTTAAAATTAATATATTTATGAGAGTAAATATGATTCCGGAGGGATTTAAAATGCCTAACTGAAGAGAACATGATGTTAAGCGAGAGGTTTTTGTTTACGGATCAAAAGAAGGTCCCGCTGCACAAACTGTACACTTCAGTGGTAAGAAATGAATGTACTGATATCCTACTTTAAGCCAAGTAATTTTTTATTCTTTTATATTTATATATATATATCTGTGAATAAATGTCATATTTTATGAACCATACATTGTGTTGAAGTCATTTTTATTTGGTGCTGAAGAAATGTAAAATCTAAGTACTCAGTAATCTTACATATTAATGGACAGATTGAATCTTATTTAATCTTACATATGATGGTTGATGTGCTCAGATTATTACTTAAACAATAGATAAAAACAAGATGTGGTTTTTATAATAGTGATTAGGCGTCCAGACAGATAATTTCCATGCTACTGTACTGGGTCACGAGTGTGCTGGATGATTACTGACGTACAGCGGGGTGATCATATCGGAGTAAAGAGGTTAGGGGAAAGTTATAATAACGTTCTGGTAACCAAAAACTAACGTTATGGGAATGTTAGATTAACGTTAGGGGAACGTTAGAATAACGTTAGAATATGGCATATTAGCAAAATGGCAGCAGCTGCGTTTGTATGAAACGAGAGCGAGTTCGCGATACCAGGATGACATAATTAAATAATTGTACACCATTTTGAATCGAGTTGTAATATTTTATTAGCTAAACAAACGCAAAGCTTCCACTAAGAAAAAATAGTTCAAGCAAGAGTACAGCACCGACTGCTGTTACCCGAATGAGCCCATGTTATTAGCTTTTACCGGTTGTTATCGAGGGATAGCATACCTCGGAATGTCGCGACCAATCAGAATCAAGTATTCCACAGAGCCGTGTAATAATGCTTTCTATCTTTTTTTCCCCTGTAGCGCTTCAGTGTGCCATGGGATTGCTTTATTTATGATAAATATATGACATTTATGATGTCATGAAGTGCCATGCGCGAAAAAAACTTTCCGAAACTTATACGAGCCCAGAAGGAGTGTATTTGGAACAGAAATACTCCATCATACGTCCAAATTGTTTTTTGAAACTTTGGCCATGTTTAGCATGAGAATCCAACTCTTTAACAGTGTAAATAACTCTGAATGCATGAAACAGCATTGTACCCCCCCTTAACGTTCCACCTGGAAACAAAAAAAAACTTTCCGAAACTTATACGAGCCCAGAAGGAGTGTATTTGGCACAGAAATACGCCATCATACGTCCAAATTGTTTTTTGAAACTTTGGCCATGTTTAGCATGAGATTCCAACTCTTTAACAGTGTAAATAACTCAGAATGTATGAAACAGCATTAGACCCCCCTCCCCCTCCCTTAAAGCGTTTACTTGTCTTGAAAAAGGCAGTTGTTGAGAAGTAGCTAAATGGGACACTATAGAGGTTGCAGTGGACATTAAATGTCATCACACCAAACAGAAAAACTCAACAACTCGCTAGTGCACCTTTAGTGCACTCAAAAACTATTCTAACTAAAACTTTCAGATAAAATGTTTTTTAAATAAAGATGGCGGTGACATTGAGATTCTCTTTTGACCCCTGTAGGTGTGGAATGGGAGTTTCTCAGTGCAGATGGGCCTCCAGGTACCCAGCATTGTGCTGAGCGGTCAGAAGCGAAACAGTAATACAAGCAGCTCTAATGCCAGCCTTACTTAAATCAAACTTCACTCTAGAACTGCTACACGTACGCACAGGTTTGGAGAACACCTGGCAACCCTTACACAAGCCTGGAGGCTCTTCCTATCATCAGTATGTCTTGCCAGCCCAAGGGGAGAGCTGCTCTAGATTCCTTTCCTCATTCCTTTTAGCTCACTGATCCGGATCCTGTGCCTTTCAGTGTCCTGAATTCAGACATGATGGGGTATTACTCTATTTCAACATGCAAAGAGCTTTAATAGCCTTGAGTTCATGTGTATATCACTAGGGCCAAAAGTTGTGTTTTTTTTTAGCATTTGTTCATTCGAATCACAGTATTTGAGCCACATTTGAACAGTTATTTCAATGCAACAGCAGCATGTTGGTGTTATTGTTTGAAATCTCAGACGAAACTGTATTATATTTACACACTGAATGTCTTTAATTATATGTCTCAAATTCTGCTACAGTAGCTGCTTCCGTATACTTTTTAAACTTGCAGTTAGTATCAGAGTAGCACAATAATCTTAAGCTAAATCATAGAAGTCAAATGCCTTTTATAGAATGTATTAATTCAGCAGTTCCAGTATCTGAGGAGGATGGAGGCAGGTTTAACAAACCATTTGGTTGTGCACGATCAATGATGTGTGTGTGTGTCCATGATCTGTCACCCAGAAAGGTACTTTTCAGTGTTCTTGATGCAAATATTTACCAAACTTGACTTTTTTGTATGCCTGCTGCAATTACATATTACAGATGACAGAAGACAGCCATTTTTCTGCCACATTGCTGTTCTCTGAAAGGGATAGTTCACCCAAAAATGAAAATTCTGTCGTCTTATCTGTTTTTCCAAAACTGTATGACTGTTTAGCTGGAATGCAAAATACATTTGAATAATGCTGGAGCTTTCATGTTTAATAAAGGACATAAAAGCATGTGAATTGTCATAAAAGTACTCCCTATATTCCAAAGTTTCTAAAGTCATTTGGTAGTTTTGGGTAAGAAACTGCAATTTAAGTCAATAGTAGTTAATAATCTTCCTTTTCAGTCAACTGTTTTTCAGTGAAACATTTGAACTCGGAACCAAATCAATCTGATTCATGGCTGAATTGGATTGATTGATTAATTGAAAAGAGTTGACTCAAAAGAATGATTCATTCATAAATCAAACATTGCTACTACTTACATTAAGAGAGCAAGAAAGAGAAAAATACAATTCAGACTGTTTATCGCACAAAACAATCAAATACCTTCAAAAGATATAGCAGACCAGATGGACTGTTTTTATGCTGCTTTTGAATTCGTTTTAAAGCTTGAAAGCTCCGCATGCTACTTGCATTGGAAAAGAAAGTCATACAGTTTTAGAACAACATGAGCGTGTGTAATTAATGACAGAACTTTTATTGTTGGCTAATCTAATATAATGCTTTTAGTCAAACACCTGAACATTTTAAACATTACTGTCTGAAACGAAAGTCAACCTGTAAAATCGTGTTGTTACACTACCTGTTACGTCAATAAAACAAATGCCAAACACACTTATTGTCTTGCACATTCACACAAGAAAGAAAGCGTGACACCTTTTTCCATGATCGTTGTATTGGTCTCAAAATATATAGTATAAAACGTGTTTTAACAGGAACAGAAAAACAACATTTGTTTGATCTGTCTCTCTATCTGGAGAAAGAAGACCTGCAACTTCCCCACATAGTAAAGTCACAATCATTATTATCAACAACCATTTGCCATTGTTATCGCAAGCCTGATATTTGTATGATCAGAGACAGAGAAAAGAGACGTAGACCAGCTATCTGACACAGGAATTCAAAACAAAACATTTATATGTGACTTTTCATCTGAATAACCTGTGATAAATCAACAGTACATCAATAAGATAAACTAGACAAACAACAGTAGTGATTTACAGTCAGCAGCTACACAACGCGACACATGATGATCGATATGTTAGTCTAATAAATGATTGCGATAACTAATACATCATAATGCTGAAAGGATCAATAAAGAACATTTGATTCAAGGGCCTATTTGTTGATCCAACTGGACAGCAGTGGGCAAATATCACAGATACAGATATATCCATATATCTGCTGGTGTAGATTTAAGACGCGCTTAATACTAAGGAATTATTCCTCGTTCCACAATTAAACCATTATCATCACCATCTTATTGAAATTACATTTATTCCTGGTTTCGTCTCCTATTAAGAACCTGCTGGAGCTCATCTGTTAAGCACAAAACCACAGCGAGTTATGGATTTGACGGAGTAAAAAAAAAAAAAAAAGCAGATATCAAATTGAAAGTAAAAGATTTAGAGTGAAATAGTGGCACAAAAACAAGAACATTTTTCTTACTTATGTCAACGTGTTGTTGCTGACACTTGGGAATATTCTTAGGCATGCCTGACAAGCTGTTGCTTCGGGAACTTGTTTTAGGGTAGCCAGAAGGTACCAAAGGTTTCCTTTCAACATCTACATTAAAACAGAAAACATTAAGATGCCTTTGCTTTTCATTGAAATTGTTAGTGACAAGAGATCTGAAAAACAACATTAGGGAAGTGATCACAGCACTGGGACATTTATTTGGACTAAGTGTGTAGTAGTAGCACCAAAGAGACGTCAAACTTGCAGTGCATCATTGGAACACCCTCACCCAAACAATCTCGGATCTCAAGATAACAGTATTTCAGACAACAATCTCAAAAACAATTCAAACTGAACTCACCTGAACTGCTGTTTAGATCTGGAGGCATTGAATTCTGATGAGGCAAATATCGCCCTGCTAAAACAAAATACCACCATCAGAATGATCCAGTAATAAACAATATTTTTACAGCATTTATTACCCTTGTTAACATTAATATCAAACCAGACATAATTAACAGACGTATACTTAAACTGAACCTTACTGTAAAGTGTTAACAGAAAATAACAAATTACACAGTATCATTTCATAGAAGAAATAATGTATATATTTGTATTTGAAACTTTGGGATCGATACGATTTTTTATGTATTTGAAAAAAAGTCTCTTTCACTCAGGCTGCATTTATTTAATCAAAACACAGCAAAAACAGCAGTGCTATTACGAAACTACTGTGAAATACTGTTACAATTTTAAATAAAGTGTTTTCTATTTTCATGCATTTAAAATGTATTCCTGTGATGGCAAAGCTGAATTTCCAGCATGATTACTCTAGTCTTCAGTGTCACATGATCCTTCAGAAATCGCTCTAATATGCTGATTTGGTGCACAAGAAACATTTCTTATTATCAGTGTTGTTAGAACGTGTTTAATATTTTTGTGGAAATTGTGTGTTTTTTTTTCTTCAGTGAATAGACATTTCAAAAGAACAGCATTTATTTAAAACAGAACTATTTTACAACATTATAAATGTCTTTGCTGTCCAAATCTTTGACCGATTTAATGTGTCTAATGTGTTAATAAAAGTATTGATTTTTTTTCCATTACAAAAACCTTACCAACCCTAAACTTTTAAATGGAAGTGTATATATATACATAAAAAGAAATATAGGACATTATCTGTTGGTGTTACCTGGAAGACGTGGCAGGACAGGAGGTGGAGAACATGCTGCCTGATCTAATGTGTGAATAAAAGTATTGATTTTTTTTCCATTACAAAAACCTTACCAACCCTAAACTTTTAAATGGAAGTGTATATATACATAAAAAGAAATATAGGACATTATCTGTTGGTGTTACCTGGAAGACGTGGCAGGACAGGAGGTGGAGAACATGCTGCCTGATCCACCTCATACTCTCCAGCATCTGCAAACACAAACATACAGTAATCGAGGATCAACAACATGCATTAGAAACACAATTTAAAACAACTAATCAAAGTAAATCATCTGCAAAACTCTCAATTTACAGATATTCTAAAGTGTGTATAAGGACTCACTTGAGACATTGATGTAGGTGTTTGGCTCTGAACTGGATCTTTGATTGTTTGGGACTGATCATGCAAATCAAAAGAGTTACACTACATTTCATGTCTTCTAAGTGTAGAGCTGTCAGCTTAAGTTAGACACTCATTAAACTCAAGGCAATATGTTTATAATGATAGAGAAGTTCATTAGATGTATTTGTGCTTGAAGATGATTTAAAGATGTATTACCTGGTTTTGGGGGTGGCACTGGAGGAGTAGGTGAAGGGACTTTAGGACATTGCACAATTGTCTCACCATTCTCATTATTAGTCTCAGCAAATGCTAAAAAATAAAAAAAATAGGAATAGTATAAATCAGATCTATTAAACTGGCCCACATGATGTTGCCAATTGCTTCTCTTAAGACTGCTTACCTTGCATTGAAATAATAAAAATAATTTTATTTATGTTATATTCTATTACTATTACTTGCTGTAAATCTCTAATGTCTGTCATGCTCTGTGGAGAATGTGCGTCTCAATAGTCTAACTTTAAAAAAATACAAACAATACCAGCATTCATTAAATTGGAAAAAGAGAGAAACAAATCCACCAGTTTAAACTATAATGGAATGAGTATTAGATCACGCTATCAAACATACTGCATCTCAACCAACGTGTTTTGTTATGCAAAAGAGACCACATTCATAGTGAAAAAGCTGTTTCAGCTCTGGCATCAGTCTAATTTACTTCTAAGAGTAGAGATGTCAGTTTAAATTAACGGAGTGTCTATTTACACTAAGTGCAAATAGCCCGCCTTGTTGGCAGAGGCTATTTACACTAACTCCGCCAACCAACGTCTGATTGGGATAGTCAAGACAATAGACTGTGGTCAAGACTGAGAAAAGACGCTCGTCAAACACCAGTTTCAGTAGCTAGCTGGTAAGGTGCGTGCTTTTTGACGCGATCGACCCGAGTTCGAACTCGCCTTTTGCCGAACTTTTTTTCTCCATTTTCAAATCTCATATCGCATCGGAAAGGCATTTATTTTCAATAAAAATTAAGGAAATTATCAAAAAGTTGAAAATAAAGTATCGGGTAGGGTTAGGGTAGGTGTGGGGAGGGCTTTATTGTCCCAGTAAGGTGGCATCCATTTAATAATTTGAATTAAAATGATAATTTACACTCAATACATTATTATTGCGTACTGTTTTATAATATACTACAATACTGAGGTGCAGATAATTGCTACCATTTGCAATAAGTAGTATAAATAGCAGAGAATCTTGCTGTTTTAACAGTGTAAATAGAATCTATAGCGATTTGCAATTAGTGTAAATAGCATATCGTTAAAAATACTGCTATTTTCACTTAGTGTAAATAGAATCCATCGCTATTTGCACTTAGTGTAAATAGCATCTATCGCTAAGAAAATATGCTATTTGCACAGTGTAAATAGAATCCATCGCTATTTGCATTTAGTGTAAATAGCATCTATCGCTAAGAAAATATGCTATTTGCACTTAGTGTAAATAGAATCCATCGCTATTTGCATTTAGTGTAAATAGCATATATCGCTAAGAAAATATGCTATTTGCACAGTGTAAATAGAATCCATCGCTATTTGCACTTAGTGTAAATAGCATCTATCGCTAAGAAAATATGCTATTTGCACTTAGTGTAAATAGAATCTAATTGCTATTTACACTTAGTGCAAATAGCCGCTGCCTTTAATTAAAGTCAATACAATATGTTCAAAATTTTATATAAGTTCATTAACAGTATGTATTTGCGCATTAAGATGATTGAAGATGCATTACCTGGTTTTGGGGGTGGCACTGGAGGAGTAGGCAAAGGGACTTTGGGACAATGCAGACTTCTCTCGCCATTCTCATTATCAGTCTCAGCAAATGCTGAGAGGAAAAAATAAAAATAGTATAAATTTGGCCTATTAAACCTATATTAAACTATATAAACATAATTATTTGCTGCAAAACTCTGGCTGCCCTGCTCTGTGGCGAACGTGTGTCTCAACAGTCTAATATTCAACTTTAAATCAATACAAACAATACCAGCATTCATTAAGTCAAAAAAGAGAGAACCAAAACTACGACTCTGGCTGCCCTGCGGCGAACGTGTGTCTCAACAGTCTAATATTCAACTTTAAATCAATACAAACAAACAATACCAGCATTCATTAAGTCAAAAAAGAGAGAACCAAAACTACGAGTTTCGTCTAGAATGGAATGACAAGTATTATTACACGCTACTGAACAAACTAGTTCTCAACCAGTGTGTTTATGCAAACCATATTCATAATGAAAGAGCACTGTTTCAGCTCTGGCAATTTTACAAGAACTTTTTGAATTTATTTTGTAAATGATTTTCTCAAATTTACTGTCTTTTTCTCTGAATGAAAGCTTGAAACATTTATGTTTTATGGAGTGAAGGAATATGTTTAGTAAAAAAAACAAACTTTTAAACATACAAAAAATAACTTGGTAAGCAAACATTTAAAACAACTAAAAATATTTATTAGGAAAAAATGGTTTGTGAAATGTATTTTTTGCATGTTCAAACAGCTATCAAAGAAAAAAAAAGTCAGCCAACTGGAAACTCATGTTAAAATTTGTAATTAATTTTAAGTAAAACTGAGAGCAACCGTGGAAGTGTGTCAATCATTCTTTTAGTGGTTTCTACAAATTTCTATAATGGGGTGACATTTTTTGTAGCCTACATGTCATTCATAATGTTGTAAACATTTTCTAGATGTATGATTCATACCGACAAGTATGTCAGTCTGGCTGACAAACAAGTTTTTTTCCTAATAACTTTCCAAAAAACACTACTAAAATAGTCTCTTACTTATATTTTTATCATAGTGTCCCTCCATCAGAAGAGGCACCATCACCCCATTGGTCTTCTCCAGCAGGCAGTTAACGACATCATGCAGGGTCTCACAGGTGATCTGTGTGTTTATGAACATGGTGTGTGAACACACTCACATTGCCTGATACATCAATGCACATACCATAGTAAATGATTTGATTGTGGCGATAAGCTAAAAGTGTATGTTTGCTCACTGGAGAAGCATTTACCACTAAATACACAAAAACACCCATAACCTGTAATATGCAAAAACTACAGATGCCAGATCAAAACCTTAAAACTCTAGAGTGTGGTTTAAGATAAAAGTCAAGCGATAGAGGCTCAAATCACAAATTATCACAAGTATATAAAGCCCTGTGGTAACTTCCAAGAATTGTTTAATGTATAACACAGCAGTTGTACTGATCCACTGCGTCCGATTCCCAACACTGACCCATAAAACCTTTTCTTATCAGAACTTCCTCTTCGCTTTCAGAGCAATTACAAATTATGACACTGTAACTGTCTTTCGCAAGAGCTCAGAGTTCACACAAAATTACAAGTTTGCAGATGGCTAAATACATTGCTTGGTGTTCAGAGAGTCTTCCTAATTCACTCAAGTTTTTATCAGGCATATTGTGAGTAATCTATTATTTACCAGAGGCTTTTAATCTAAAGTAACTATTACTTACGGGAGTCTCAAGGGCAATGGCGAATCCTCCTTCGTGCCTCCTAGACACACGGTAATGTCTGAATACTGGTCTGTAGAGCACATGATTCATTCTTAACTAATACAGCTAGATTCCATTTTATTAAAGCAGAACTTTGCAGAACATGCCGACTATTGTGTAACATGCTTGATTCAAAAGATCAAGGTCTAAGGTTCAAGACTGTTCAACCAGCAATTCAGATGATCAAGATAAACTACAATAAATGAAGTTCTCGAGGCCATCCAGCAATCTCTGTCTGTCCAGCATTCAACATGTTGCTCTACTGATTACAGATGAGAGTGTGTGTTTACCCGTTAATATCTTGGCGTGTAGTGAGAGCAAAAGACGCCCCATCATGACCCGGCCGCAGCAGTAGGCTTCCCCGATTAGCGTTCCTTTCCAGTAAGTATTCCGCTTCGACACGAGTGACATTATGATAACACCTGCACAAAGCATTATTGTATTATTACATAACAGGCATGGTTATTTTAATTCATTCAGTCACTATGATCACACCAGAAATTGCGAGAAACGATTGTCGATCATAACCGTTTGCAGTACACAAAGAAATTTTACTCAAAGTCTGACCGGTGTGACCAAGGCTGCATTTTCACATGCATGTGAATGAAATGTGCAATGTGCCTACCCTTTTAATCGCTTAAATGGCATAAGGAAAAGTGACATTTCAGTACATGTTTTGGAATGCATGTAAATGATGTGACTGACAAAACTTAATAAAATACATTATTACAAGTCAAGTGTGTAATTTCTGTATCACAGTCAAAAATACTTGTCCTTTCTCATTAAACATCAAACTAAGTTATTACACACATCACCTTTAACCTTTGATGTTGTTATTTATAAAGCAAGTGGTTTTAACTTACGAAGGCATGTCTGACGGTACAGTAACATAATTGTCAGAACACGAGGGTGACGGCAGAGATGAAAGAAGCCGCTGCCTTATTTTCTCTTTCTCTATTATTTCCTTCATCATGTGAATCTGGCCAGGCAGCAGGTTCAGAGAACTTGGCACAGATAGCTGAAGGACAGAAACAGTGAGAATTATTATTTTGTACTTATATAATTTTGGTATGACATAGGACTGTTTCTCATGGTACACGCTGACAAAACAATAAGTCATATAGAGGTACTGACAGTTCATCACATGGATGACCGTAAGTAAAAAACAAAACAAAAAAACTCTGGTTTAGTCTCTTTGGTTTATCAGTAATCACAGCACAACTGCCTTTATACATCAATAAAACTTAAGCCATAAAAAAGGCACAGTCAATGTGCCTCGTCTGAACAAACACAGTGTTATTTGATAACTAGTTATTTAATAGTTGTAGTGTAAATGCATATGAGGAGACATCCTCTAAATATTTTACCTTCATATTTCTAGTGATGTCTTTAGAATTTCACTTTAGCAAAGTGGGTTTACTTGGCAAATAGGCCTCGATAAAATTCTAAATATATCAATAATATTTAAAATCCTAAAACTTTGTTACATGAAAAAATGGGGAAAAATTCAACATTTTCACTAATTTCTGAACAGATTTTAGACCTCATTATACACTTAAAGTGATTTTCAGAAGCACAACTAACCTTTGAAACTGAGAGCATGAAGCCTTTCCACAGTTCTCGAGCCTCAAGGCTGGGGGCCTGAGAAAACAGGAAAAAGCATAATGGGTAACTGTGTGCATTATCAGATTTCAATAACTCGGGGTTAAACAGCTGTAAGTGTACTGCAGTGAAATCAAAGTCAAGATTCATTTTTAGAGTTCGTTTTACATAAAAGGATCAGAGACGGGAGAAGTCCTTACAATCATTTTGATGTCTTCATTTTTCATGTGCAGAGTGAATCTAGCAGCGTCCAGGTTTCGGTCGCGACAGCAGTCATCTGATACAGAGACGAGATCAGAGAGCTCCAGCTTCTCTATATACTGTATTCACAAGCACAAGCAAACAGTTGATGCATTAATAATCTGTATATAGACAAACATATACAGTACAGAATCAAACAGCTTTCAGGCCTGCAAGCTTGCATTTGAATACATTTATGCAAATCTACATTAGAAAACGCACACACACATTGAAATAATTTTCTAGCAGCTACATAGTAAAATTACATTGAAAAGGCAGCTTGTAAAAATCACTTACAACACTGTCTTTGGTGCTATTGTAGAAAAAGAGTGAATTGCCACATAAACTGGTCCAGAGTTTACGACCCATCTGTGCAAAGAAAAATAAATGTTTACTGAAAATAAATACATTTTCTGAAAATAATAATAATAATAATGAATAACTACTGAAAATATCCCATATTGTGTAGATATATAGTGTTTTCACAGACTGCATATTTTTTTTAAGAATTACAAGCATAAAGAATACAATGGAAAATTATTTTCTTCATAATAAACACTTCAAAAACAAGACTTGACACAGAGGCATGGTTGTTTTATAGTAATTTTAACCAGTTGACATGAAATTAAATGATCTTATATTAGTTATGATCCTAAACTATCAGGAATGCGTATGGTCAAATTAAAGCATAAGTCACAATGCAAAATATTTACCCTGCAATGAACAAATAAAAGCGCAAATGTTCACAAATGGGTTAGTGCTGATGACCTCTACCAGCTGGATATAAGCTAAGACCTGATATATGAAATGAAAGAAAATCTTAACTATAAACATATTCAACAAATGCAAATCTTTTATCTGTAGTGTTGGATCTGCACACAAATATGCCACCAGACCAGTTTTTTTGTTGACATTTTCACATTTGTAGGAAAAGAGTTTCCACGTTGCGACAGACCCTTGCATAACACTGCTTTGATGGCCACAGGAAACTTCTCCTGTTTTCTTCAGGATCACTGGTCACATCTTTATTGTCTTTACTATTTACTTGCATTGAAATGTAAAGCATTTCATAGAACAGTGTCTGGTCATATCTTTATATTTGGTGTATTTACTATTTACTCACATTGAAATGTAAAGCATTTCACAGAACATGCTGTGTTAATGCTAAAAATGCACATTTCCAACAAAGGGCAGGGGTTAGCATTATGGGTTAAAAAAAATCTAACAATATGTGTCATTGAAATTTAGGATGCATATTTCCAAGTACAACAGAAAACTATAGATATAGTTAACATATAAGTAGGTTTACTTGAAATAATTTTCAATATTTAAGAAGTTAAAGACACCAAATATTATATGTTGAAGATTAACCATGAAAGAATTCAAATGACTGTTGTTTGTGCCATTTAGAGAGGGATAATCCTACAGAAAAACTGATAAATGCGGATTAAAAATTTACAGTAACACAAGTAATGTGTGACATAGTAGAAGATTACAACCCATGCTTATGATAAGAAGATGGTTCACACTGCTAAACTCTGACTGAAGCACAGTAAATTGCATAACTAGCCGAGCTCATTCTTTTTATGCAAACCAGTGACTTTTTATTTCAAATGAAGTGGTAACATCTAATGAAAAATGGCAAAATGGGTTACACAAATTGATTAAACTTAAGCCTCCGATCATGTATCGTTTCGAAAGGAAAAGGCTTTTTACTTTTTTGCACTTGTATAACAACCCAAACCATTTAAACTATGCACATGATGAAGATACAGGTACAGGTGTATTAGAAAATAACCCTGCTGACAACATTTTAAACCCTAAACTGGATCCAGGTTTTTGGGGTACACCTTAGATAATCCAGCTGGAATACCTCCTTAGGATCGTACGTGTAGGCTACATAAACACACTGACTCACCTTGTCTTTGATTGATTTCTTTTCCAGAAAGCCATCGTAATAGCATGATGGCAGTTGAGATCTCACTCGTTTAAAGCGATTTGCTGCTGCCATAAGTTACACTCCCGTCAACGGCAAACTTCTTACAAAACCGTTCAAGTGTTTGAAAGAATACGCTTCAATGTCCACCTGCGCGTTTCATGCGTTATTAAACTTTCAAATAGCCTACATAATAGAGTTCACGTGCTAAACCTTTATAAAAAGTTAGTGATGAAGAGAAGGCTTGTGGACTAGAGGTAACACGACCGTCGTCAAATGCCTATTTTAAGAGGTCTACATGCCGTCATCCTACTCCCCCACCCCTTACCTGTACACAGGTGAGTCAGGTGCTCTCGAAGGTTGCCGGAAGGCACGAAAGTCCCGCCTATTGTGAGGAACCATAAAGCTGGCAGGAGCACATAAATATCCACCCCTTGGGCATGTAGACGTAAGCATATGGGGAAATACCCCTTTGAAAGTAACACCCATTTCCAAAACGCTTCCGATAAATGGACGCTTTGAAAACAACACATTTTAATTCTTTCAATTGTAACTGTTACAGAAACTCAAGGGGTTTCGCAATCTGGGGTTATCCCAAGACTTCTCATACATATTTACAGCACTCTCCCTGTATCTGAAAATATTGTTTAAATGCTTAAATCATTTAAACAACATTTTCAGCATTTAAACAACATGCTTTAAATATACATTTTTGTACTTACTAATACACATCTTTACCAGATGTATTATATTGGGTGTATATATATATATATATATATATATACACACACACACACACATACAATTTTGTTGTAAATCTGGTAAAGATGTGCATTAGTAAGTACAAAAATTTACATTTGTAAATTTATAAAATGTATTATAATGTTTAATGGTATTATTCACTTTATTTATAAAATAGTAATAACACAAAACACACCCACACATACAATTTTATATAATAGTATTTTGTGTGTGTGTGTGTGTGCGTGTGTGTAAAATAGAAACAAATAGGCTATATTTTATATATTTACAATTAATTTGTATATCACTCTCTCTCTCTCTCTCTCTCTCTCTCTCACACACACACACACACACACACACACATATAAACCCATATAATCAGTTACTGCTGGCTCTTCACTTTCTTTAGACTGTCTTGTCCATTATTTACATAATTGATGCAACAATTATGACATCTGAAACACAAAGTTTTTCCTTAAAGAAACTACAAAAATACAAAAAGTAGGTCAAATATAAGTCACTGTACTGTAATGTATGTAGATTACCATTAGATTCGCCGAGGTTGTTCTGGAAAACCTGATACATGTCATTAAGGGGTTATGATAATATTGTTTGAAATAAATATAGTATGTGTTAGCGCAAACTGAAGCAGTTTGAGGTTTGATTTAGGATAGCATATTTTAAACAGATTTTTTTTTATTTTATCTTAAAGGGGTCATATGATGCTGCTAAAAAGAACATTATTTTGTGTATTTGGTGTAATGAAATGTGTTTCACTGCCCAAAAAACTCGCGTTTGAATCGTCAGTGGAAAATTCTTTAAATATTAAAACGTACTTACAGGCTGTGAGTCAGAACAGCTCTATCAGGATCAGGAAACAGTCCTTCATAAAATGTGCTGCACACATCTGAATATTTGGGTTAAACTGTTCTGGAACAGTGTT